GTTTAATACCCCAGTTATTTCTGTTTACCCTTCATAAAAAGCATTAAAAAGTACCATATATACCTTACAGATAATAGATACACTGTCAATATATCTTCTATAGAGGACCAAGTTCACGCCATAGCCACCCTCTTGGTACATAAAATGTTTCTCCCAAAAAGCCATAAAAAGATTAGCGTAACTTAGAGTGAACTTGGTCCCTATAGCAGTACCCCTCACCTGAAAAAAAAAGTCACCAATGAACCAAAAATATATATTTTTTTAAATCAGATTAATACCTTAATTGAATTTGTACAGCTGGCATAACCTGTGCTTGTTTTAAAAATAATTCTACAGCCTCACACCCTTTCTTGTGTTCATTAATGGTGTAGAGGCTGGTAACATCACATGTAATTAAAATATATTCGTCGTCCCATTTAAAACTCTGTAGGGTATTTAAAAGACTCATCGAGTCTTGTAAAAAGGAGGCACAAGTTTTTACCAGTGGTTGAAGATGTGCATCGATATATTCAGATAAGGTGATAAAATAGAATTAATACTGGAGACTATGGGTCTTCCGGGAGGATTCAATGGATCTTTGTGAATTTTAGGTAGGGTGTATATCACAGGGATTTTGGGATGTTCTACCATCAGAAACCCTTGTTCACCTTTGTCTAATATTCTGATATCAAAACCCTTTTTAAAGAGATTTGATATTCATATTTAATATCGCTAGTAGGGTCTTTAGTTTTTTATATGTAGAAATATCTTGTAGTTGTCTATTTATTTTTTGTATATACATTTCTTTATTCTGGACTAGAGTTGAGCGGACACCTGGATGTTCACCTGGATGAAGTCAATGGGGACCCGAACTTTTGGCCACAAAAATGCCTCTAAAAAACTCCTGGAAAGAGCTAGAGAGCTGCAAAAGCAAGAAAAATGGGGGTAGGAGTAGGACAAGTGCCCTGCAAACAAATGTGGATAGGGAAATCACTTAAAATAACATAAAAAAACATAAAAGCATAAAAATTATTATGTCAGGAGGATCAACAGAATTATCCATATGAGAGAGGGTTGGAGTGTAGGGTATTCTCTTTCATTGTTCAAACTGAGCTCAACTCCTGATGCATGGAGAAAAGGCCTTCACAAGCCTCTGCTAATGTGTACCTAGTTTATACTAAGTGACCCATAGGTTGAGGAGGCGGTGACCGTGGCGGTGGAGGTGGAAGAAGCGGTGGAGGAGGAGGATGAGGTAGCCAACACTGTTTTTTTTGTAATTGTGGTAGCCCACAAAATATTGGGACATACAACAAAAGAAACATTTGCGGCCTGCAGTGCATTTCTTGCAGTCCTGATGCATGGAGAAATGTTCAACTCTTGATGCATGGAGAATGGAGAAAAGGCCTTCACAAGCCTCTGCTAATGTGTACCTAGTTTAGACCAGTGGTTACCCTGCACCAGACCCTGCTAATCCATTCCACACTGTGACTCCTAACTTCAACATCAGGCATACTGGGTCCCGGCTGTCTGACCGCCGCCCAGACAGTGTCTGGGTCCTGGTCACCGGACTGCCCACCTGACTGTGAAACTACGAATGGATCGTTAAATCTGGTATGAACCCGAACTTTGCAGTTCGGGTCCGCTCAACTCTATTATGGATCCTTTGATCGCTACATGTATTACTTGGATAACTGGTAATTCTCGAGCTAATACATACCGACGAGCACTAGGGGATGGCTGCTCTGCTTTTGCACCCTGCTCCCTCTTATGCTGTGCTGGTGCCTCTGTGCGACCAGCACCTCTTCCTCCAAACTGCACACGTCACTCGCATGACCTTGATTCCATGTGGGGTCTAGGACCTCATAAACTCCACATCATCTTCCACCCACTCCTCAACCCTGCCCTCCTTTCCGGTATGCACACTGTAGAAAGCCACAGCAGTTGGCACCTGTGTTTTTCCACCATGTAAAATCTGCAAAGGACATATGGAAATTGTTTTACAATTGTATCCAGGCAACAGTTTTCCCTATAAACTGACCTCTCAGTTTGACTTGTGAGGGTATTGCCCTAGAATTACAATATTGTTTAAGTACCTCTTAGCTATTGATCACTGGTTTGAATATAGCAGCTTGTTATCTGGTAGTTTCTAGTGTAGAAAATATCAATCTGTTTTCTATCACTAAGATCTGTGTAACAAGTGTTGTAGGTGAGAAACAATATTACAAGTGACCGATGTAGTAAATTCGAATCAAAGTTACGTTTCGATTTGACTTTCAGATATGAAGTGAACACCCCAAATATACTATTTAGTGCCAAAAAAAAGAAAAAAAAATACTTTTTAAAACTCCAATGTAAGCAGCAGATTAGCAGCAAAATAATGTTTACAACTGCGCAGTAAGCACACTATTAGACGCTTCTATTTGACTCTCAGATATGAAGAGCAGGCCACAAAATGTACTATTTGGCAGATTAGCACCCAGAAAATAAGAATGTTTACCACTGCCCTGTAAACGCACTATTAGACGCTTCTATTTGACTCTCAGATATGAAGTGCACACCCCAAAATGTACTATTTAGCAGATTAGCAGCAAAACAGTTAGAATGTTTACAACTGCGCAGTAAGCACACTATTAGACGCTTTTATTTGACTCTCAGATATGAAGAGCAGGCCACAAAATGTACTATTTAGCAGATTAGCACCCAGAAAATAAGAATGTTTACCACTGCCCTGTAAACTCACTATTAGATGCTTCTATTTGACTCTCAGATTTGAGAGTCAAATGGGGTATTGTGGTCTTACCATGGGAGGGCGGTGTGTCCCTCCAACCATAAGTCCCAGATTTTATGGAATGAGTTTGGTGTCTCATGTGTTTGGGCTGTTAGTTTATCCATATCTATGCTGTCAGTTATTTTGTGATGGATTTGGGCATGGGTGGGTATATGGGGGGTGGACCAAGCTTCTGCAATTGTTCTGCGGGTAGCTAGGGCGATTTGGACAATGAGTTTGTTTTTGTTGTCAGTGAAAGGGGCGAAGGTTTAGAAAGTAATAGGGCCCAGCGATCCTGGGGTCTGGTCTGCTGAGCAGTTTTGTTAAGAGGTTTGAGATGCTCTTCCAGAGGGGTATGAGCTTAGAACATGTCCACCAGCAGTGGCTGAATGTCCCCGTTTCACCACACATTTTCCAACAGAGGTTGGTGGGGATGCATTTCATTGCTGCAAGGCAAAGGGGGGTAAGGTACCACCTGAAAAGCATTTTGTAACCTTGTTCCTTGTGGGTAACGCAAATCGATATCGATTTGATGGCCATCCAGATGTCAACCCGGTCTGTGGGGTTCTCTGGGGAGCCTAGGTCTTTTTCCTAGATCTTGATGTATGGCAAGGTGTTTTGAGAATGGTGTGTGGTCAGTGTCATGTAAAGGTCAGAGATCTGGCTATTTTGGGACGGGGAGCGAAGGCTGTTCCGTTCGAACTCAGTGAGGGCGGATGTGGCTGCTAGACATATAGTGTCAGATGCGGTGAAGCTGCAGAGTTGGAGGTATTGGAAGTGGTTAGAGTGTTGGAGTTGGGGATTTTGGCATATTGGAGCAGTTTGCTGTTGGGGAATAAGTGCACTAGTTTGATGATGTCCCTGTCTTCGAAGTGTGCATAGTGTTGTGGGGTTAGGCCTGGTGGGAACATTTTGTTGCAGAGAATCGGGGGGGGGAATAGGCCTGTGGATAGGTCAAATTTGTCGCTGAGGTGATCCCAGAGATCTAAGGAGTAGGTAATGGCCAGCGAGGTGGGAGGTGGCAGTGGCCTATGCTGTTTCGGAAGCCACATATATACGGAGTGGTGGTCGAGGCCAAAGATGAGGTGTTCTAAGTTCACCCACCGTTTGCAGGCAGGGGGAGGTGCCTATATTGAATTTGTTCCAGGTGGGCTGCATTTTGGTAGTGTGTAGGGTTGGGGAGTTCCAAGCCGCCCGAGTGTTTGGGTATGTATAGGGTTGTTTGGCATACTCAGGGTTTGCGTCCGTTCCATATGAATTGGTCAATTGCTGTTTGTAGGGTTCGGAGGTCGGTCTTCTTGCAAGGGATGGGTAGTGCTTGGAAGGTGTAGAGAAATTTCGGTAAGGGGTTCATCTTTTTCCAGCCAAGCTCATTCTTCCCAGCTTATGGGTTTAAAGCGCTTCTTCCCAGCTCATGGGTTTCCAATGCTGGAGGTCAGTGTGTGCCTTACAGAAGGGGGGGGGTTAGTTGGCGGAGTATAGGGAGGTGGTGTCCATGGTGAGTTTGATACCAAGGGTTTAGGGTTCGTTTGTATGGTTTCTAGGAGGGTTTCAAGGGATAGGTCAATTAGGAGGGGAGAGAGGGGGCATCCTTGACGGGTGCCATTAAGGATAGGGAAGGATGGGGGAGTAATGTTAGGGATTAGTAGTTGGGCAGTTGTCGTGTGGAACATTGCTTTTAAGATTTGGGTGAGTTCGGGCGGGAATCTTAATTCGTCAAGCACCTCAAAGAGATAGGGCCAGAGAAGGTGGTCAAATGCCTTCTCGGCATCTAGGGAGAGTATAGCTGTCGGGAGATGTCTGTGGTTTGCCTGCCAAATTAAGTCTATCGTTCTCCAGGTGTTGTCTTGTGCTTGCCTCTGTGGTATGAAGCCCACCTGGTCTGTGTTGATTAGTTTCTTTAGGAGGGGGTTCAGTCTGGTTGTCATCACTTTGGTCATTAGTTTCAGGTCAACGTTTAGAAGGGAAATGGGGCAGTGACCTGGTTCATGGGACTTTCCGAGTTTAGGAATCAGGGTGATATTTGCTTGGATCATATTGGGTGGTGTCGGGTCTCCTTGGAGCATTGCATTAAAAACATTACAGAGTCTGGGGATGAGAAAGTCTCAGAAGGATATGTAGTAGATGGCCGATAGGCCGTCTGGGCCTGGGCTTTTGTTAGGTTTCAAGGTTTGTATTGCTGCTGAGAGTTCTTCCGGGGTGATTTCTGCTGAGACCAGGGGTCTGGCATCCTCAGTGTTTTCAGGGAGAGTTTTCAGGGAAAGTCCTCTGTCAGGGTGCGAATGTGTTCGGAGGGGGGGTTAGGAGTGTGGTTGTATAGGGTCGCAAAGTACTGTTGAAAGGTTTCACCTATCTTATGTGGTATGTCACTCGTTGTGCCATCTGGGGTACGGATATTGGAGATTTGTTTTGTGTCGGTAAGTGATTTAAGCCATTTGGCCAGCATAGAGACCGCTTTCTTGCCTTTCTCATAATATTTCTGTTTGGTGCAAGCCAGTGCTTTAGTTGTGGCTGTCAGGGATAAGCTCTCGAGTAGAGCCAGGGCTGCTGTGAGCTGCTCTAGATGTAGCGGGGTTGGGTTGTGTTTGTGAAAAGTTTCGAGGCGGCTAATTTCTGTCATGGTATCCATAAGTTGTCTGGTGTGTTGTTTTTTGCGCGCTTATGCTATGGCAATTAGTTTGCCTTTTATGGCCGGTTTGTGAGCTGCCCATAGGGTGATTGGGGAGGAAACTGAGGGGTCGTTCAAGGTAAAGTATTCTGCAATGTCTTTTGCGAGTGATGCTGTCACCAGTTTGTCATGGTGTAGTTGTGGGTTCAGTTTCCATGTCCATGGTCTAGTCATGTTGAGGACTGTGAGGGTTAGTTATATGTCAGCATGATCCAACCAGGTGATGTTGCCTATGGAGGTGTGTGTTATTCGTGGTGTGAGGCTAGGGGAGATGAGAAAGTGATCGATGCAAGAGTAAGTGTTATGGGAGTGGGGAAAAAATGTGTAGTCTAGGTCAGAGGGGTGTTGCACTCTCCAGATGTCCAGGATGTTGTGGGCAGTGGCGTACATACCAGGGTCGCAGGGGTCGCGGCTGAGACTGGGCCTGGCCCACCAGGGGACCTGGCCGCCCCTGCGACCCATTATGTACCCACTGGGCCAGCCTCTTCTCCTGGGGGGCCCAGGAGCTGGCCACCCCAGGGCCCCCCGAGGCTGGCTCTGCTGACACCCGGCGGGCGGGTGAGCTGTCTGGGTGGCCGGCGCAGGAGGGAGCACTCTCCCCTGAGCATTGGCGTGTGCACGGGGTGTGCCACACACCCTAATCCCCATGGCACGCCTATGGTTTGAGTCCTGCAGGAACAACTTTTTTGAGCAGGAACGCTGTTCCTGCAGGCACTCAGCGCCCCCTGTCTCACCTCTTGCCCCTGTCATGGGGGGGGGCAAGAGGTGATGGATTTGACATCATATTCTGGCTCCCAGCTACTGTAGACAGCCCGCGCGGCGAGAGGGAGCAGAGAGCAGACAGCTCCCTCGCCGCGGCTGAGCTGGAGAGAGGCGCCTGCCCCACTGGACCCCAGGGACAAGTCCACGCCAGCACTCCAGGTAGGAGGTTGGGTGGACATTTTTTTTTATTAAAATATAATAATTTGTTCTTGTGTGTCTGTGTGTGCGTGTGTGTATGTGTGTCTGAGTGTGTGTGTGAGTGTGTCTGTGTGTGTCTGTGTGTGTGTGCGTGTGTGTCTGTGTGTGTGTCTGTGTGTGTGTGTGAGTGTGTCTGTGTGTGTGTGTGTGTGTGAGTGTCTGTGTGTGTGGGTGTTTCTGTCTGTGGTGTGTGTGTCTGTGTGGGTGTGTGTCTGGATGTGTGTGTGGGGTGTGTGTCTGTGAATGTGTGTCTGAGTCATGTGTCTGTGGGTGTATGTGTGGGTGTCTGTGTGTGTGTGAGGTCTGTGTGTGTGGGTGTTTCTGTCTGTGAGTGTGTGTGTGTCTGTGTTGGGATTGTGTGTGTGTGTGTGTGTGAGGTGTGTCTGTGATGTGTGTCTGGTGCATGTGTGTGGGGTGTGTGAGTGTGTATGTGTGTGTGTGTGTGAGTGTGTCTGTGTGTGTGTGTGTGTGTGTGTGAGTGTCTGTGTGTGTGAGTGTTTCTGTCTGTGAGTGTGTGTGTGTGTGTCTGTGTGGGAGTGTGTGTCTGTGAATGTGTGTATGTGAGTGTGTGTCTGTGAATGTGTGTCTGAGTGCATGTGTGTGTGAGTGTGTCTGTGAGTGTATGTGTGTGTGTCTGTGTATGTGTGTGTCTGTGTGAGTGTGTCTGTGAATGTGTGTCTGTGAGTGTATGTATGTGTGTGTGTCTGAATGTGTTTGTGAGTGTGTGTGTGTACGCATATATATGTAATACACACACACACACACACACACACACGTAGAGCCGGCGCTATCTGCGTGCCGACTCTGCTCTAAGCATCCATGGGCCGGCGGGGAGACCAAAGATCTACCTCACCGGCCCACAGCATGGAGGGAGGCAGGAGAGGACCCAGGGAGCTCTAGACAGAAGCTCCGCCAGGTTCCTCTCGCGATATCTGAGCGTTGCTGCGGCAACGCTCAGATCTCGCGAGAGTTAACTCTAGCCCCGCAGACTAGAGTTCACTCTCAACTGGACCACCAGGGATGATGGCACATAGCGAAGGCAAAAGGATTTTACTAATCTACTTGCGTCCCTCCAAACACCCACAGCACACACACATACAACACCACACCTTACAGCTCACACACACCGCCGCTTACTCACCCCTCAAAACACACATGCCTGCAAAAACACGCACCACGGCACTAACAGCACCCTGCAAACACACACACACACAAACAGCACCCTCGCGATACGCGACACTCACACACAAACAGCACCCTCACAGGACAAACATACACACACAAACAGCCTCACACACAAACAGCACAGTCACAAACACACACACACACACACACACACACACAAACACCCTCACATCACACTAACAGCACCCTCACACACACCACACTTACAGCACACAGCACACTAACAGCACACACAGCAATGTGTGTGTGTATG